CCCCTGCAGCTCGCGAAACGCTCCCTCCGCCCCTTTTGCACCGTCTGCAGCCGCCACTTCAAGACGCCGCGCAAGTTTGTGGAGCACATGAAGTCCCTGGCGCATAAGCAGAAGGCCAAGGAGGTAATAAATAAATGGAAATAAATGGAAGGAAGGAGGGTGGTCAGTCGGTCTCTGTACAGATGAATTTCTACAGAATTAAAAGCCTTCCCCAACCTGTTGCCTTCCAGTTTTAAGTACGGTTGAGAAATTCATTGCGTCTGCATTTTAAGAGGCGATTGGAAAAGAAAGATGGAAGAGAGGATCGGATAGCCATCACCAGGGATTTCAAGGGCATCCGGAAGATGGAGCAAGTTTGTTTTGTCCTCTTCTGGAGTGCAGGACCCAAATCATGGGATTCAAATTACGAGGAAGGGGATTTGTGACTCAACCTTAGCAAGACTCTTTCGAGGGAAAGAGCTGCTCAGCAGTAGAACATTGAACATTTTAAACTGTGATGAGTATCTGTCGGGGGGCAGTTTGACTGAGGTTTTCCTGCATCTACAGTGGGTTGGGTGAGATGACCTTTGGGTGTCCCTTCCCGACTCATCCTGTCTCTTTTTCTCCGCGCCCTTTTGGCTGTGTCCGTCCAGGTGAAGTTGGGAGAGAAGGAGCAGGGAGGGCCCGAGGATTCGGAGGAACTTATCACGGTCGACGCTGTCGGGTGTTTTGAAGAAGAGGAGGAGGAAGAAGAAGAAGAAGAAGAAGCTGGAGAAGAGGATGACTCTGAAGGGGAACCGCAGGAAAATGAAGACCCTCTAACCAAGCAGGTGCATATTCACGAGAATATTGAGGCCAGTTGAGATGACCCTGGTAAAAGCAGGAACCGGCCAAAAGTTTCCTCTGTTTCTCTGCTGTGTTGTTGTCTTTTCAAGTTGTTATGTTATGGTTCTAAATGCGCTACCTAAATTAAACAAGAGGACCATGTCCTAACATCCGCTCTTTTAGGGCCACTGTATGTGTCTTTGACATAACGTATAAGCCTCTCCCCGATTCCAGGAAGAGGTTCCCAACTTCATTTTTCTACCTACCCGATCCTCTTTCCTGGTTCTTCCACAGGCTGGGCTGAAGGAAGAGCCATCGGAAGACGGTGGAGGGAAGGAGGAATATTGCCCAGATACGGTCTACGGTAAGCAGACAATCTGAGCCGCAAGGGCGTGTATCTTCTTTTGTAGCTGCGTCCTCTCACTGCGTTGATGGAAAGAACATCTGCCCAGGAATAAAACTGGCCGGGGAGAGGTTTCCCTCCCCATCCCAAGGGGCATGAGGGTGTTTGTGTGTGTCTTTTTAATATTAAAAATTGGGGGGGGGCAGGAATCAGGGTGCTCCATGAATCACGACGCTGTCGGGTGTTTTGAAGAAGAAGAGGAGGAGGAGGAAGAAGAAGAAGCAGGAGAAGAGGAAGACTCTGAAGGAGAACCGCAGGAAAATGAAGACCCTCTAACCAAACAGGTCCGTGTTCACGAGAATATTGAGGCCGGTTGAGATGACCCTGTTAAAAGCAGGAACCGGCCAAAAGTTTCCTCTGTTTCTCTGCTGTGTTGTTGTCTTTTCAAGTTGTTATGTTATGGTTCTAAATGCGCTGCCTAAATTAAACAAGAGGACCATGTCCTAACATCCGCTCTTTTAGGGCCACTGTATGTGTCTTTGACATAACGTATAAGCCTCTCCCCGATTCCAGGAAGAGGTTCCCAACTTCATTTTTCTACCTACCCGATCCTCTTTCCTGGTTCTTCCACAGGCTGGGCTGAAGGAAGAGCCATCGGAAGACGGTGGAGGGAAGGAGGAATATTGCCCAGATACGGTCTACGGTAAGCAGACAATCTGAGCCGCAAGGGCGTGTATCTTCTTTTGTAGCTGCGTCCTCTCACTGCGTTGATGGAAAGAACATCTGCCCAGGAATAAAACTGGCCGGGGAGAGGTTTCCCTCCCCATCCCAAGGGGCATGAGGGTGTTTGTGTGTGTCTTTTTAATATTAAAAATTGGGGGGGGGCAGGAATCAGGGTGCTCCATGAATCACATTGCCAATCTATGTGATATATTGGGACTCCTGGTGGGCTCCCAGAAACTATTTAAAAACACACTGTAATAGTATGGATGAGTTTGTCTTTATGTCCCGGATTCACCTGTTATCTCTTCACGGCAATATGTATGGATGATACCTTAATGAGGACTCGTTAGCTGCCATATCTTTTAAAGAATACATAGCCATCATATGATCTCCATATTTAGGGGCAGTTCTATCTCAGAACCCAGGGACAACGCAATCCGTAGCAGCTTTCACTGTGGCTTTGCACCTTTCCCTCCTCCACCGCCCTACATTATTAGGCCTGAACTAAAAGAACAGACAAAAGCAACAGGTGGGCCTCTGTGCATGTACAGAGTGTTTCCCCACCCTTGAACATCCCCCAATCACAGATGGTCTTGGCCTCTACGTGTTTGACCTGAGAAAGCAGGTCTTGGTAGCATTTTCTCCTCTAGGATGGGGCGGACACAGTACAGCCCTTCCCCTAGATGTGGCTAGACTACCATTCCCATCTGTCCCCAGTGCTGGGAGTTGGAGTCCAAACCCCATTGCGGGGCCGGCCCTTGGACAATGGCTCCAGGAAAGTATCTTTTGTTCTTGTGTCCAGTGCATGTTCTTTTTCCCCCGTAACAAACCAAAAACATCCCATCTAAAAATAGAAAGAGACGAAAAAGCGGAGAACACAGAAGCGCCAGACCGCAGGGCAGCGTCCACAAACGCTGCTGGAGGCCGTATTTCCTCTCTTCCACCCTCCCGTCATCCTAACCTCCTCGGATAGGAGTGATTCATACCTTGTACATCCTCTGCCCTCCCTCTCACACCTCTCCCTTGCCAAGTCTGTCTTCCCGTTCGGTGCAGTTTTACACCCTCCTTCCTCCTCCTTTTTGAGATGACCGCTGTTTGTTTTGTTGTTCCCTTTTGTTCCAGCCATAGCCTGACATTAGCCATGCTGTAAGACTCGGTAGGTGGGTGGGTGAGCCAAAATGGGTTTTGAACTACGATGCCCTACCTGTAAGGTGGCATGTTGCCCACCTGCCCAGATGAGGCTCAGGCCCTCAAAACCTTCTTGCTTTAGTAACATGTTCCTCATTTTAACCAAAGCACCGATTTCTTTTTGAAATTCAAGTCCCCGTTTTGTTTTTCCACACCCTCATAGCATTTTTCACCTTTCTGATTTCGTTTCCTTATTTTTATTTTTATTTTATGATGCTTTGCTTCTATTCCATGTGATCTGTGACTCCTCTTCCTCTCCCTTGTTCCACAGGCCTGGATTTTCTGGTTCCCGTTGCGGGCTTCCTCTGCAGACTGTGTCACAAATTCTACCACAGTGACTCAGCCGGCCGGCTCACGCATTGCAAGTCCCTGATGCATTTTGAGAACCTCCAGGTCAGACCCTTCCGCCTGGCTTTTTCTTCCCATTTCTTGTGACCGTCTGCTGTGGTCCCATCTCCGCCCCTTGGGAATCCTCTTCCTCCAGCCAACCGACGCTTCTATTTTGCCATCTTGCACCCTTCCATTTATAGCATGATCTGCTCTTGTGTTGATCTTAAGAGTATGGCAATGGCCGTCCCATTAATATCACATCCTTCTGTGTCACATCTTTTCCTTTGTATGTTTTTTAAGCACCAGATTTTTTTAAAAAAATATGCTTATTAACATGTCTTTCTATGTGGCTTGTCTTCTTTATTTCTCAAACTGTTTTCTGCACGCCAGAAAAATTCTTCCTTTTCCCTTTTAAAATTCTCTTCTTGTGTATACTGCTCTTTTTTGGGGGGGGGGCTACTATAATTTTTGATCATAGAACTGCAAAGCTGGAAGGGACCCTATGGGCATCAAGTCCAGCCCTTGTTAAGGCGGCTCAGTGGGGGAATCGACCTCCCAACCCTAAACCACTGAGCTATCCATAGGCATAATTCTAGATCAGATCAAAGGCCTTTCTAATCTGGTGTTCCATTCCCAGCGGCCAGCCAGTAGAACCCAAACCATTTGCTCTCCATACTCTGATTGTGCTCAAAGTAAACTCACTATACTTTCTGGGACTTCAAATGTAATAATGACTGATTAAAGACACATTTTTTTCAATGAATCTACTGATGGTATTGAACAGAAATGTTTATATATAGGGGCTTCTCCCAGTAAGCTCATTTTCACCTGTGTAATAGCCCTATATGTCAGTTTTAGCTACAAGAGGGTTTTACTGGGGGGGGAGGGAATCATTTAACTACATTTAGTCACCTTCCATATATCGATGAACTTTCCCCACATTGTGGTGCAGGAACACACCAGCAACTGCGGTAAAGCCTGGGGTCTGCGCAAGCGAGAGAGAGATATTAGCATTACCATGAACAGGGAATAGGCGTCATACAAACATGGAACTGATAGGTCTTTCATGCTGATACCCACATAGTAATTTTGCACCCATGTGCATAACTTTTAGTTCTCCTATGTTGTGTAATTTGCTGGTCGTTGCAGTGATACGGACCTGCTCACCATGCCAGAAGCTGGCGTCTTTCTGTTTCTTGGCTGACTGTCAGTAACTTTTGCTTTCTTTCCCCCCTTCTGTTCACAGAGATACAAAGCCATGAAACTCCAGGCCTCATCATCCACACACGCAGAGGCCTCCTTGCACCCGCAGCCGGAGCTGACCGATGGGCAAACGGTGGATGCCGCCCAGGCAGTGGTTAAGACAGAGACGGCCGAGGCTGAGGAGGAAGAGGCGAGCTTAAGGGGAGACTGCAGGTCTCCAAGAGATGAGCCCGCTTCCGCGGCCCAGACTCACAATCCAGTTGCCTTTAGGAGTCCCAGCCCGGTTGTGGAAGAGGGGGAAAAATGTGGAAACCACTTGGCGTCACCTGGCAATGGCACCTTGCGGCAGGATGCTCCAGGGACAGGAGAAACGGCAGAACTGCCTAAGCCGACAGCCAAGCCTTGTGACACGACGCAGCAAGGGGTGTCGGCCGACAGAGCGGCAAACGAAACACCAGACAGTCGCCAGGAGGAAAAGGGAGGGTCGTCCTCCGCCAAAGGGGACTCATCTAGCCGCCGGCGTTCCACCAGGCATAAGGCTAGATAAAACTTTCTCATTTTATTTTTGTAGGCGAGTTTTCTTTTTGTGTGTAGATTTCTCCAGGAAAGGTTTTTATTCCCACCCCCCCGAGTCTTCTACTTTTAGAGGAAGGAAGAACAGAAAAAAGAATGCTATAGTTTTACTGCTTTTTTTGGTTAAATTAAAAGGGGAAAAAAAGAGGAAAAAACATCGCTGCCCTTTTGATATATTCTGTCCAGGGTCACCTGGCCAGCTGTGGTGTTCTCGAGGCTTCCTGAGAAATGAAAGGAAGGCCGGGTTGTGAGCATTCTTCTCTTGTCGCAACATCTGTTCCACATGATTCCAGTTGTGTTCTTCAGGGCAAAAGGCACACAACGGTGCAAGAGCTCCAGATTCTTGCCTCTAAACCCCTGGAAAGCTTAACCACGGCAGTTTCAAGAGGCACTATTAGCATCTTAACTTCGAGAACAAGTGATACCGTATTCGTTGTAATTTAACACCCGCCAGTGTTCCACCTCTCGGCTTCTCCCCCTCGCTTTAAGCACTCTGCAGTTCAAGGAAACATCACTGCGTACTCAATTTCTGGATCAAGAGCTTCCTCCACTACCACCATCCTCTGGTTGTAATGGACTACAACTCCCATTTGTCCATGGCAGCGATGATGGGTCTGTAATCCAAAGTATCTTGAAAACAGCAAGTTGGGGAAAGTTTCTAGACTGGGAATTCTAGTACCCCAAATAATGAGCTGAATTTAGTTGCCAGTCAAAACTAGAGCAGATGGTTGAATCAGTTGCTGAAGAGCTAAATCAAAACTTAGTTAAATCTCTCTGATTCATTGGGTCTGCTCTGTTCGGAACTAAGAGTTCGCTTTCGTTGTGGCCGATTCGAATGGTCCTATTGTGATGGAATATTCCACCAAGACTTCTCCTGTCCCCCAGTGTGGGATCACTCAGGTTTATTCAAAACACCTTCTTTAGAAACTCTGACCACCAAAGACCTTCTGGGCTTAATCATGAGACTACAAAACGAAATTCACAAACTTAGCCAGGTTTTCACACTAAACTGGATTTTTAAATATATAAAACACATAGAAATCATCAGCAAGAATTCTGGCCAGGATGCCTGGCTTCTTTTTTTTGGTATGAAAAGAGAATCACAACTAGGAACAAACAATTCATTACACAGTCACTGAATGGGGTGTGTATGCGCCATAGGGAGAATATAACGGAGGGAGATTTTGTTAAAAATACTACAAAGGGAGGCGAGAGGGCTCACGGTTCTGGACCGCTTTCATTGTGGATCCCAAAAACAACTACTCAGAGTTGATGTCAGTACAGTGGTACCTCACAAAATGATTACCCCGCAAAACGATGAATCCGCATGACGATGAGGTTGCAATCGCCATTGCGCTTTGCAAAACAGTGTTTCCTATGGCCGATTTTTGCTGGACAATGTTTCAGTCCGTGCTTCCCAAGACTTCCCCCCCGGGGGGGGGGTGATGCTTCACAAGACAACGATTTTTACAGCTGATCAGCGGCTCCGCAAAATGGCTTCGCTATGGGTTATTTTTGCAAAACGACTATTTTCCCCATTGGAATGCATTAAACAGATTTCAATGCATTCCAGTGAGGAAACGATTTTTGCAAAGTGATGTTTTTGCTAAACAGCGATTTCAATGGAACGGATTAACATTGTCTTGCGGGGCACCACTGTAGTTATACTACTGAGGTCCCATTGAGCTTCAGCAGGGCTTCGTTCCCAAGTAAGGCGATACAGGATTGCCAGCCTGGGTCAGGCAACCACAGCTACCTAATTAGATGAGCAGAATGGGACGAACAAGTCTTTAAAAAAACAAATCCTGCCCCTCTGAAGTAAGTCTTCTCCTGACAAGCTCCCCCAGAAAAAGGCTCTGTACAAATTCACCATGACCCTAGAAGCCAGAGGTGAACAATGGTCTTCCGGATGTTTTGACTTGCAACTCACATTGGTGTTGTCCAGAACAGCCAGTGGTGAGATGATGAGAGTTGCCGTCCTGAACATCTGGAGGGCTAGAGTTACCCACCCCTGCGGCTAGTTAAAATAAACATTTACAGGCACCTACATTTATCTAATGCCCTTCTAGTGCTCACAACCTAGAGAAACAATCCTTGTTCCATTAAGTTCTAAAACCTAGGGGCCATAGAGTCAAAGACACAGAGGAGCACATCTGGTTTGGAAACACACATGGACCAGGGGGGCCCTCTATTATGAATGTTAACATTTCCCCCACCACCGCCAACAGCAAAGGATGGTCCCACCGGGTGCTGCTTCTATGTACACCCTGGTTTGTCCAAGCGAGGGTGGGTGGGGGGCCTTATGCATCCAGCTTGGGTCTCTGGCTACCAGCCTCTCCGTCTTCACCTTCGCTCAGCTGCTGCTGAAACTCCAGGCGGGTCTGGCGGTTGGATTCCAGCAACTCCTTCAGCCGGGCATGCAGATGGTCATTCTTCTCCTCCAGGTGGTCTAAGCAGGAATTGATCTGGTCCAGCATGGAATTGATGGCTGCATATTCTAGTGGGGGAAGGGAAAGTATTGCAAGAAAAGCAAAGAGAGGATGCCTTACTGGTGGGAGATATACACGGAACAGACCAAAGAAAAGACAATGTATTATGATTAAATCTATCTGGAGCCTGACATGATAGATTCCACATGCGGGAAACGACACCTGAGTGAAAGGAAGCTTTACTCCTGAGTAACCTTCCCTAAGATCATGGTCTTTAAAAAAAGGGGGAGGGGTTTGGCTACCTCTTTTAAGACTGTTGGGAGTTCGTTTGAGTGTAAAATCTCTCGGGTTTCTATTCACTTCCTCCACTGGATTGGGGCTAGCCACTGGATTTTACCCCGAGGGCGATCCAGCATGCTAAATATAACCGAATATTAACACGTTCTGTCAATGCAGCTAGCAATAAATCAGGCATAGGAAGCAGTTGGGAATTGGGCGGTTATTAAGAAAGATCATTATGCATAGACATGCTGTAGGCAAATGGAGGGAAAATTAAAATAAAATTTAAAAAGAAAAAGAAGGGGCTGCTTAGCAAACCAAAGATACCCCCGAGATCCTTTGCTATGGAGGGTCGACCCAGGGTTGAGAAGGCCGTCTCAAGGTTACCTGTCTCTCCGAAGCCGCCCTCTTCTTCCTCCTCCTCCTCTTCCTCCTCTCTCCGTCTCAGGCTCAGATTCGGCTCCCCGTTCGGACCCGACATCCTGAGGCTTCTGTCGCGCCCAAGCAGCGCAACCGGCTTTGCCAGCGGCTAAGCCCCGCCCCGGATGGAACGCGGAGACAAAGTTGCCCAGGCCAAGCCACGCCCCTTCCTCCGCGGGAGGTCCATTCATGAATCTTTGCCCGTCGTACGGTCCAGAAAGAGACATGGGGACGATGGGCATGAAAACCAAGCCGCTCTGGCTGAATTATTCCCCCCTCCCCGTAGTTATCCCATAGTGGGAATCCCGGGGAAGGAGTCATCAGGGGATTACGGTCCCCTGACCACCAAGCATCAGAATACTAAAATAGTACAATTTTTAATTTATTGGTTACCTTACAGTCTGCTTTTTTCCTCTAATTTGTAATGTAGGTATATTGCTATACTTTACTGCTTTGATTGAATTTTTAACACTACTTACGTTTTCCATTTCTCAGAGTGGCATTTTTTTGGTATACTACTTGATCTTGGCCTTAATGTCACCTGTTAATGATGTTTTCCATTTCTCAGAGTGGCATTTTTTTGGGTATATGGTACTTCTTGATGTTGGCCTTAATATCACCTGTTAATGATTTATTTGTTTATTATTTATTATTTGATTTATATCCCGCCCATCTGGTTTACTCTATGATGTACAGTACGTAATATTCATTTTTCATAGTTTTAACAATGGTCTTTTAATGATGTTAACCTCAGTTGTATGTATCCTCATTGTGTTCCACTTTAAATCTTGTCTTTCATTGCTGGAAGCCCCAGAAGAAAGGCGGGGTAAAAATATTTTAAATAAATAAATAAATATTGTCCAAGCTCATTTAATGGAGAAAAAGTCTGCTTTTTTCTCTAATTTGTACTGTAGGCAGATTGCTATACTTTACTGCTTTGATTGAATTTTTAACACTACTTACGTTTTCCATTTCTCAGAGTGGCATTTTTTTGGGTATATGGTACTTCTTGATGTTGGCCTTAATATCACCTGTTAATGATTTATTTGTTTATTATTTATTATTTGATTTATATCCCGCCCATCTGGTTTACTCTATGATGTACAGTACGTAATATTCATTTTTCATAGTTTTAACAATGGTCTTTTAATGATGTTCACCTCTGTTATATACTCATTGCGTTCCACTTTAAATCTTGTCTTCCACTGCTGGAAACCCCAGAAGAAAGGCGGGGTAAAAATATTTTAAATAAATAAATAAATAAATATTTCCCAAGCTCATCTATCTATCTATCCATCTATCCATCTATCCATCCATCCATCCATCCATCTATCTATCTATCTATCTATCTATCTATCTATCTATCTATCTATCTATCTATCTATCTATCTATCTATCTATCATCTCTGACCAACCTTCCTTCGGCCCGCCCCCTGCTGTAAAAATCCTTTGATTGACAGAGCCATTTTTCCCTTGCAGCCCCAGCAGAGGGACTGGCCCGGAGAGCCAGGATAAGGTCAAAGCCTCCGACGCTAAGAAGCCCCGCCCCTTCGGCCAGCTTGACTCGATGGTTATAGGATGATCTCCTATCCGGCCATGGTGCGGGAGGGCAACAAAATTGTTACTACGTATCATGCTGTTTGAGACGCCAAAAAGACACAAAGGTACACAAAACAAAACGCTGTTTTTGATTCCTTTGTCTCAAACACCAACTTGGCCTTTCCATTATCTATCTATCTAATCATCTCTGACCAATCTTCCTTCGGCCCGCCCCCTGCTGTAAAAATCCTTTGATTGACAGAGCCATTTTTTCCCCTGCAGCCCCAGCAGAGGGACCGGCCCGAAGAGCCAGGATAAGGTCAAAGCCTCCGACGCTAAGAAGCCCCGCCCCTTCGGCCGGCTTGACTCTATGGTTATAGGATGATCTCCTATCCGGCCATGATGCGGGAGGGCAGCAAAACTGTTACTACGTATCATGCTGTTTGAGACGCCAAAAAGACACAAAGATGCACAAAGCAAAACGCTATTTTTGATCGCTTTGTCTCAAAACACCAACTTGGCCTTGCCGGCACTTTGCATTCAAAAACACCGAGCAGCATATCTAGCCCATTGTTTGGGGGGGGCACCATCTAATTTCCCCACTTTATCCCAAAGAATAATCCCGGAGAGCACAAAAACGGGCTTCGTTTCACGACATTTGTTTTTCCTTTAACTGGTCTCAGTTCAGACCTCTGTTAAGCGGGAGGAAGAGATCCGCCGAGCCGGGAAGCTCCCTTTGTAAGAGTTTTGCTTTGTCTTACTATCACCACCCCCGCCATTGTGGCTTTTATTGTTTTATTTCATCGTCTCCAGGATTCCCATCCAGCCCAGCAATCTTTCTCCCGCCCCTCCTTAGCGGAACTCATCAGCATAATATCACCGCCAATACAATCAGCCTACGGCTCCCACTGGATTCCTCACCCGAGGTTTTTTTTTTTAATCTTCTTGCTGCTCGGCGCCCGCCCGCGCCCTTTTTCCTGGCACAGCGAAGATGGCAGCGGCTTGTTTGCACGGCCGGGCCGCCGCCGCGTGGAGGCTGCTGGCCGGCCCGTCCGGGCTGCGGGCGAGCGGTTTC